ATATATACACACACACACAAAATGTACACCAGGTGTCGTAAAACAAGTACCTACCTCTAAAGGATGACTAGTCTCTAAAGCGAGCGCCTGGAAGTCACTTTCTAATTCGGTGGAGTCACTACTAGCACGAACCTGAAACAAAGAAAGATTGAACATCACGTTCCGAAACCAGCTCTCACCATATACCAGCTCGTATCTAAATCGTGACACGAGTAACTAAAGCGTTTCACATGTGTTAATGTCTGCAGGAAGAAGATGTTTATTATTTGTTTATTACACAAAACAAGTTGAGGACAAGTACACGACAGGTTGAAGTCTGGAATCAAGCTTAGAAGGCAGACAAGCTCGAACGAACTCTGTATATTTAACAGAGGGCACTGATACATGAAAGCCTCCATTTATTACAGTCGAGTTATGTACGTTATTGATATAATTTGATTAAAACATGTCGAAAAGTTTTTGTTGCCAACAAGGATAATAGTTAAAAAGCATCAAGCTATTACACACACACACATTTTACATAAGGTGTATGTGTATACACATATAGTAAAGCCTTAAATGATTATTTGTTAGATGTGGCATACAGATTCAGTTTAAACCAAAATAATGAAGTAAAAAAACGGTAGGAACATAAAAATCGATCATTGGATCTACTGTGATCATAAGCTGTTTTATCCAACTTTGAAGGTGTCGTTAAATGCAAGACAAATTAGTAGACAGAATTGAGACAAGTCAAAACTTAACGTAAAGAGATTTCGGATGTGAAATTAGACAGTTTGAAAACCTCGAGTAGTTTGTTGTACCCAGTAACCTGGTACGTAGTTGGTCACACTTGAAGTAAGACATGCGAACAAAGCCCAGGTAAGTCTTCATGTCAGTGGTGAAGCCACAGATCCTTAAATACAAGCAAGTAAGATATTAAAGGGTATGTACAAACATAATTAACCAGTATGTATAAAACAAAGAATATAACAAAGTATTAATCACACAAACGTGACAATATTCAATGGTCTTAGGATTTACAAAAGGGTCCGCCAGAGGACGCTGTGAGCTCCCCCCATGACAATGTTTGATTTTATCACTAGAAATGACAGGGAAATCATTTTATATGGTAACTTTAAAAAGCAACATAATTGTAATACTTAATAACAACTGACATGGTGTGAAATTTATATCGCTTGTAAAAAAAACATCTCTATAGATGTGGGGGATAAATTAGCAAATTGGATGGAAGAAAGTAGAGGGTTGTTACAAATGGAGTTCAGTCAAACTGGATTAATGTTACAAGTGGGGTATCTAAGGGGTCAATCTTTGGACCTTTGCTCTTTTTTGATTTAATCAGTGACATAGATGAAGGAATGGTCAATCAATTACTTAAATTTGCAGATGATATTAAAGTCTTGGGTGTTGCTAGCTGTGAAGAGGATGCTGCTGATTTACAAAATGATTTAGATCATGTACTGAGTTGGGCAAATAAATGGCAGATGGGTTTGAAGTATAATAAATGCAAGGTAATGTATGCGGGTTATCAAAATTTGAATTATAAGTCATTGAAATAAGTTAAATATTTTAGATTTTCATTATATAACTTGCAATGACTTTATTTGATAAATAGTCCACTTTTGATTTCAAAGAAGTTTTTGTGAAAGTTACAGAAAAAAGTGGATTTCTCAAAATGACAAAATAGGATATACAGCATTTCCCATCTAAGATTTTCATGCATATATGTGTAAATCAAATATGATTATTAGTACATCTGATTTATCCATTTTGCACTGTAAAAAGAAAAAAAGTTACACACAGAGAATATAGATTACGAATTACACTTTTCAAAAACATTTTTATGTATTGTTGTTTTCCTAACCTTTAAAGAACACTATAAATGAATTTGTTTTGATTAAAATCGGACTTTCCTTACTTTCATAAACGCAAAAACTTTTGAAGGCATCACTATAACCTAAAGTGCCAGTCCGCACAACATTAAGAGAAGGGAAAGACCAAAAGTTGATTCTGATCCATTATTTATGTAAATATACTTTAATCAACTTGAGAGTTTAGGAGCTTCTCTCTGGCATGCAACATTCACAACAATTTTAAGGAGAAATTTATTTCGGTGATTATACTGAAAGATTTGGAGTTACATACATGGTCAGGTTGTATATATTCAACAATGTCAAATTTATCTGCCCATTGAATTGTATCTATATCAGAATTTTTATCATAAGTTAAAGCCAGACCCAACACAAAACAATGTGATATTACATTTTTCATCTACACCTTCAAGTCATTCTTTACACTTGTCAGACAATCAACTTGTACAAATTTGTATGGTATTGGGTATCAAAGCTGTTGAAAATATTAGGAGTAAAATCAATAATTAAATAACTGAAAATGAATTCATATTACTTTAGATCTGGGCTTTAAGCAGCCAACTGGATTGCTTGCACCAATGGCCAGCTTTCCAATGAAGAGTCACACAACAAAACACATGATCATCCAGGAGAGCTTTGTATATACCTAGCCAACATGATATATCAACACATAAAAATCGTATATAAGCTGAGTGACATGGTAATGTCTACCTACATTAAGTCAAAATATTAGTGCACACAGTATTGCAGGATTCTGTAATACCTATACAAACATAAAGACAAAATCTCTTAACATATAGTGTGACATATTTTACAGTAAACATATATATAATGAGACCAAAATATAAAAATATGGTGACAGATGAGACATATACACAGGTGACAATATGTTATAAAAAAAACTCTGCTGTTAAATCTGACAACCAAACCAGCAACTGTACTGTCATAAAATTAAAAGAAACAAAAAAAAAACAAAAAAAAACTGTACATATTTATGGCAGTTAAGATGTGTACAATAATAAGGCCAATCACTATTAAAGCTACCCAACAACCCAAGTGTTTGGGAAGGTAAGTTAAAGAATGCTTACTTTTTTAAAGTGCTAAGGTTCTATTTTTGTTTTTATTGCAACAATGTGCAAATAAAATTAATTAATCCCTTTTGTTGCCATTCATTATTATCAAAATCTAAGTTCAAGTCAGAACTCTCCAAAAATTTGCTATGTAACATAAACCTGTCGAGTTTTTTCTAACTAAAAAAACTTATTTTAATTACTACTCTACTATATTATCATGAAATACAATTTTCATAGTTTCATTTCATGTTTTGTAATTATTACATTTGGTCCTTCTGCAGTGTGTATATATTTTTTTGGGTGTATGTGTTTTAGTGACCACTTTCTAAGTGAGATTTCAGCATAAAATAAATATAATAACTACTTGTTACAAATTATAAGTTCCCAAACATATTCAAATAATCTCACTTACTATTATTTGTTGGTTTATACACAGATAAAAAAAAACTGAAATTAAAAGGATGATCAATATGGTAGCCTTTGCAGCCTGTGTCATTCAGAAAGTGGTTCATTAAATACAATTTAGGTCATGATCAAATTTGCTAAAACTTTTTGCTAGTCTGAGTTAACTAATAATTAATATCCAATTTTGTAATTTAAACTTTAAAATATTGACCTAGTTTTTTAATTGCAAATATTTGATGTCCATATACAACAATATAGCTCAAAAATGTCTGAATCACTGCATGTGTACCATTGCTTGTCTAGGCCAATTAAAGTATCTGAGTAATAGCAGCCAATGGGATCACATGAAGTTATTTGTGAGCTTGTCTGCATATGTAAACAACAGCTTATTGTGTGGACAGTGCCATAAGATATAACAGTAGGATAAAAACTGAAAATTTGTTACTTTTTTGAAAGAAATAAAGGGACCGATAGTGGACCCAAAATAGTGTGCATCATGACAGACTTAATGAGAGGCTCTAACAAGATCTCACAAAACTCATATTATGAGCACTCTTGGGCATCAGTGTGATGATACCCATAAAATGTGAAGGGCTGATTTAATCCCATTTTCTTACATTTTTTCATAAATATTATTTTTCTATAGAATACACACACACTGTCTCTTAACTTTACTGATACCCTTGAAAACAACAACCCTTCAAATAATAAAAATCATTCAGTGTCAACAGCCAAGACTGGACCTCATTCACAGAAATATACTACTCAAGGTAAAATCAAAAATGTTTTTAAAGCTGATCAAACATGTCACTTCCCATACTTCTAATTTATAAAAACAAAAGATACAGTCATAAATTATTGTTATGTATGAGTCACTAATCAATGTTAAGAGCATCAGGTTAGACACACCTGAGCAAGTAAAAGGCCTGTCACTGTACTATGTACTACCAAGAACAAACAAATTTAGTAAAAATCTGGATTATATATTTATATTTGATGATATCAATATACCTCCAATGCACAATTTGATACTCCTCCCACCTAAATGGCATCATTGCTGTCTATCAGAATGAATCTATATTTAAAAGTCTCACATTTGGAGAGAATATAAATAAAAAAATAATTGTGGGTACATAGATTCTCATAATGAAACAGAATTATGAAAATAAAGTTAATATAACCACAACACTGTAGTGATAAGTTGGCATTACAACCTCAAAAGGGTTACATATCTATATAAACAGCATAATAGTCTGGATAGTTATCAAACATTTCTTAATAAAAAACTTTATATTTTATCTGTTATTTTCAGTAATTAATCTCTGTACGGGTCAGTAAATTTGACCGATCTCGCAACCACCATGAAACATTAAGAAATAAACATAAATTATGTCTCTTTCATTCTATAATGAACACAAATTAAAAGACAAACATAAATGTTCAGACAAAATAGCTTAAATCTCATAACACTGTACATTTTTATATATTTTATATTTTTATCATATTGACCTTTCACCCATGCCTAGCTAACAATACAGAAGTTACAAAGATGGGGCTCATGTGCACTCATGTTACGTATCAAATAACATAAAGGTGACCTTTTGGTCTGTACAAGTAACTTGTCTTGGCTGTGTTTTAGTGGACTAGTATTTTGTAAAATACAGTCACATTTCAATGATTATAAATTATATATATGTATAGATTATTGCTGTTTTGAAATAAGTTCTCAAAGTTGTTTTTCCTAAAACTTAGAACAGTAAATAAAGAAGTAAAGCAAACAATT